AGGTCGGTCTGTTTAAAAGGAAGAACAAACAAAACACTAAATAGACGTTGAACCTCCTCCTAGCAGCTACGGGATCGGTCCTAGACCTCTTGCCAACAGAGCCTTGCCCAGCATCATCTGGAGCCCTGCCCCTCTTTGAGAGCGACACCCCCGTGTCTCTTGCAACAGTTTGTTCAATGACTTCCTCCGGTGGAGGAACATTTAGTGCAGCCTTATCCTTCTTGCCACCTACATGAACTTCAACATGTTCATCATCGTCGGTTTCATGTTGCACATTTTCTCCATGTCATCGTCATCGTCCTTGTCGAGACCAGCATCTCCATCTAGCTCATCCTGTGTGTCAGGGAGCTCCCGAGAGCTGTTGTAGTCGTACCGGCCACGACAACCAGTTGGTTGATGTGTCTGTTCTCCAACGAATGATGTGAACTGCCTCACAACCGCATCGCTGTTGGAGCCATTGAGTGTCGTCCAACCCTCAACCAACCTCCCGAGCAAGGGTCATACCAGAAGCAAACTGCCCAACTAGATGCTCAACAGGTGCCCTCGCCTAAGCACAAAACAAAAATTAGCAACAACCAAACATATTAGAGTCACGTGCGTAAGAACAAAAAAATCCAAACCAACCATAGAGAGATAACAAAATGCAAGAGAAAAATGATTTCAAAAAACAAAGTAAACATCCTTGATTATCTCAGCAGGACAAGATGGAGCTGAGTGCACATCCATCCACTTGACAAAGTTTTGTGGCCCACCAAACACACTGTAGTCTATAACATGCTTGGCCATCAGCTGAAAAAACAGCAAAAACAACTAAGATGTCAAAAGAAATAAGGAGCAGTGACTACAAACACACTGCCAAGGTATTTATCGCTTATTAGCCATAAATGGTTGTCGTATGGGGATTTTTTTATATGTTATGCAACATAGAAATTGAAGAATGTCGTGCAAGAAAGAAGGCAGAACTAACCTACAGTTTCCCATATTTTGTATTAGATATCCCGTCTGCGGCAAGCACGACCTTCACAGCATCGTACGTCCACACATAGACAGCAAACTTATGTGGAGGCGGCGGGCCTCCTATCTCAGTAAGGTCGACTGTGGACAGATCAAGACGATCAACGTACATGAGCTGGTGTACACAATAAAAAGCAAGCTATGTCAGTTGCCATCATGCTATGTTGAAAAGAAGCTTATGTAGTTTCCTTGAGTCATCTAGTTGAAGGGAAGGGAAGAAATATTTGCCATCTATCTATGTTAGTTGCCATCACGCTATGTTGGCAGTTGCCATCCTATTATGCTGGTAGTTGCCACCAGTTCAACATGGTAGTTGCCATTCTAGATTGTATAAAAAAGAATGAATGTATGAAATGAACACTTTTTGTGTTGTAGAAATATGCTATTGCCTTGTAGGAAGCAACTACAGATGCCATGGATCAAACAAAAGTCATATTCACATGCAAAAGATTCACATAAAAAATGAAACAAAGGGTTGCCATGCACGATCTTATACGATTGCCATAAAAAAGGGAAATAAAAAATCCAGTTAAAAGATCAGTCATAAACTTTCGGTTGGCAGACTATGGCCAAACAGAGATAGCAAAAAATGCAAAACAATTTGGTTCACACTTATGAACAGCTGTGATGTTGATTTAGGAAAAGAATGAACCATGATAAGAGTAGGGAAAATACCATTAGGTGCAAGTGACAGACCTTCTGGTACATCTTGTTTGAGAATGCATCATGCAGGAAGTCCGCAATGAATTTACACAAATTCATGTTCTTAACGTCTTTCAGCTTCGCCTGCACAACACAATCTCAGGGCAAAAAGTTGCCACATCAGCATTCAAATAAAAACATCAAAAAACTGGTAGTGACTAGCTTCCAGATGACATCAAAATCAAAAGATTGCAGGGAAAAATAAATAAAGAGAGAGAGCATTCACCAGGATAGGGAAGCACTTGTTGCTTGGGCGAAGAGATGTGGTAGGCGCAAAGACAGCTGAGATCAAGTACATGAGCAGCTTCATCTTAAATACCTCGCCATGGGTTTTCATGGCCTCCAGCGAAGTCGCCAGCACAATCGTATTAGGCATGGATGCCATCCCAGGAAACAAACGGGTGAACAAGGCTTCCTCAATCTTATTATTCACCTCATACAGGACTTTGATTTCTCCACGGAGCACACCCAAAATGCAGAACACGGATTCCTCATACAAAGGCAGTCTTCCACGTCCGGAATCACGAATTCCCTGGAGGCAGGCTCATAAATTACCGAGCGAGTCGCATACAGGGTTTACTAGGTTCATGCACTGAACATTCATCAGAGCCTGCATCCCCATCTCATCGGTAGCTCCCTTCTGCTCATCAGTGAATCCTTCATTCATTATAATCAGACGTTCTTGCGAAGCCGTATTGCACCGACGTTTCTTCTTCTGCATGACACAAAAAGGATCATTTGTTGCCATGTGCAATGTAGTGAAAATTTAGTTCTAACGGAAGATTGAAAACTAAATGTCAAATTAAAACATAGGGGGAAAAGTGACCTCATCGCCATCTTTTGTGCGACCGGGCGCACGATTCTGTGGCGGCAACTGCATGAAGTCATCATCATCATCTTGATGGTCACCGCGAGCCATTGTGTTACAGTAAGAACAAAACACACGTTAGGGTGAAAATGAAAACACAGCCAACGGATACATACAGAAATGCCATGGTTATTCATCGATGAAGTAATGATTCACTGGATATTCATCAATGAACAAAAGTTGGAACTGCCATGGTTACACCAAAGTTCAAGCATCTAAAAAGGGCAGTAATTGCCATGTGCGGAACATGCACAAAAAGGCAGAAAGTTAATCAAGTGGAAAAGCAAATTGCAGAAACATAGCAACTGGACGTGTGTGTGCTTCTTAATGAAGCAGTTGCCATCTACCAGTATCAACTTGCCATGTTGGCTCTAATGAAATGGCAAATGAGGCAGAACAGAGGAACACCGAACCAGGACTGTCCAACAAGTAATTTGGCAACTAACACATTGGCTTCATAAAAAGTACAGGTCACATCTACTAGGTTCAAGTTGCCATGTTAACAAACAAAAGATGTGGCAGCTAAGGCACTTCAAATAGGGCAGACAACTTCCAGTGTGCAACATATAATGTGGCAACTCACACCCTGGCCTCATATAAAATAAGTTGCCATGTAATGCAATCGAATATGTTTAGCTATTACAAATCAGCATGGCAAAACGTAGTTAAGTCTATTGTACAGTCAAATTGCCATTGTCCTGCATATGACATGGCAACATGCATAGTTGATTCACTAAATTAGTTGCCACTTAGAAGAAAAATAGTGGGTAAAACAAATGCAACAAAAATTGTCGTGACTGCCATTATCACAGACTAAAAAAATGCAACTACCTAGAGATAGAAATCATACACAAAAATTACTCCCTAAATTGGATCTCACAAACTGACATTATCCTACAACTGACATGGCAACTGAAACAGTTCTTTCAGAAAATTAGTTGCCATCAGTGATGATATTTGTTGAAATTGTCATGACTGTCATTATCCTACACTTTGAAATGCATCTAACTAGATCTAGGGTTCATTCACAAACTACCATACCCTAAATTCAACATCAAAAAACGCCCTACACGGATGGCAATAGCATTTCGAGGCAAATCGGAACTAACAGCTAGAAAATCGCCTGCACAAGCACAGGCAAATATACAAATGTGGTTGCGGACCGGGCAAGCCTCACCGGCATGACAACCACCGCGACGGTGACGAAACTGCGCATTGCCGCCCTAGATGGCAAACACGTGACTCCAACACCGACTGGGACACCGGAGTACCGCGAATTGGCCGGAATCTCAAGAAAACTCGAGGGGAAATTGACCGTGGAGGGAGGGGGCAAAATTGCAGGCAGGAATGTGACCACGGAGGGAGCCTTACCTTCAAACTGCGGCTGCTCCGACGAGGGCGCTCCGGTTCGGCGAACCCCAGCAACGGCCGCGAATGTCGTCGACTCTTCCGCCGCCGCCGCCGCCTTCTCCTCTCGGCTTCTCCAATCGGATGGAACTGGTGCGAATTGTGGGTTGGGAAGTAATGAAGGGGAGGGGAGTATGAAGCCGCGAGGGGTGGCGAGTCGTGGGACACGGCAACCGCAGTCGTACGTGGCGTGCGGGCGCGACGGCATTTCCACCGCACGCCCCGACTCGCAACCGCTGCCGTCAAAGGGAAACGGGCATGCGAGCGAACTACCTACACACCTCACACCGGGCTAATCCTACGTGACACACCAAATTCACCTTTTCGTGTCAAGATTCGTGCAAAAAACAATCAACAACGATAGAGGCATGTGGGCGAGTTGCAGAAGTGCCACACGTGTGGGCATTAGTGTTTTTGTTGTTTTAATAAAGGGGACTGCTAAATCTTAGTGGATGAGTAAGCCATTGGAACATTGCTATTAGGATTCGTGAGCACTGCTTGTCCTGTGTAGACTCGGCCCATTGCTATTAGGATTTGGGCAATGCACGGATACACAACAGTGACTCATCACACTAAACTCAAGGCTTACTGTCAATGTTCTAAATTTTCTGAAGATTTCTACCTGTACATGTGGGAATGAACTATGTACCTGCAATATTTATTTTTAGAGTTTATTAAAATGCCACAACTTTTCTTTTCACCAAGCAATTAAAAACCCAGATCTTCCTATTCTCATCAAACAGCATGATAGTACCTTAACATAACCCATTTAAAATAGAAAAACCAAAGGAACCAATAGGGCGGTAAGTTGTAACTAAAAAGTACTATCTCAGTTTCATATTAGTTGTCGCTGATGTAGTACAAAGTTGTACTAAATTAGCGACAACTATGGAACCGAGGGAGTAATAAACAATAAATTCAATTATGACATTGTCATAGTGAAATATTGCATCATGCAATAATATTTGGTCCACAATGTATAATCTACTAAATTATGATATCGCCACATCTAAGCAGCAAAAGCATGGCATCGCCTGCAAGGCTCTAGAACATTTAACTTTACTGTGGAGGGACCTTTTTTCATAATATACCTTTCAATTGCCAAGAGGGCCTCACGGGCTTCTTTGATCATATGCCTACCTATGGGGTTACACTCGCCGGTTTCATGAACATGCTTACCAATATCATCAACATCATCTATCGTGTCCAACGTAAGGCACTGTAGTGATGTTGCATTCTCAAGAATATGACATGTCAGCTCAACCGTGCTCTTTGTAGAGCAAAACCCAGAGATCTTTACAGTCTTGATGTTCTCATGGCAGTATTCTCGCCTCTTCCTAAGATGTGACGGGTCTCCGAAAACCGAATCATGCTTCATGCGAGTCTGCGACACCTGCATAGGATCAAAATTAATATGACCATCGACTGATAATGTAAAAACCAAGAAGATATTTGGATTGATGATACAACCGAAGATACTAGACTAGATATCTTTCGAGATGAAAACGTGACTTACAGCCAAGTGGAAAGTTTCCAAGACAGGACAAGCATCCAGAAAATAAACCAGAGAGAAGTAATCGTAGACTGGGGAGAAAGCCCCATGTTCGGCTTCAAGAGAAATAGACAAATACTTGAGGTGGAGGAATTTGACAGGCACAATTGGTGTATTGATGACCTTCAAGAATATAACTCACATTAGTAACATTCCAAGTTATATCTGATAATCAAAAGTTTTGTAGTATACCTCACTAACAGAAGATATGCTAAGAGTTTCAATATTGGGCACAATGGATGGCAGGTTGGCACGAGCATTGTAAATGGTGTTACACCGATCAAAACAATACATTCCCATGCTCTTCACTTGAACTAAATCTCCAAACAGAAGTTTAACTTGTCCACCATTGAAATAAAAGGTGGAGAGATTTGGAGCTTTGCACTCTATCAACTGCAGTTTAGTGCATTCAGACACCATCAGGTAGTTCAGATGCTGTAGCAGGCTAGGTATCTTCAGGTAAGTGATCATATTGCAATACTTTAGTGTCAAGTGCTCCAAAGCAGAAGACTTGGAAATAAGGCATCCTAATTCATCCACCGTAATACAAACACAAAATAGATGCAGCCTTCTCAAGTAACCAAATCCAGCTGTCGGATGGAAGGCACAACCACCAAGGCAAAGATGCTCTATTGTGTTTCTACACCCATCATCAACAAAAGGTGCACACGGGAAATCATAGTAGTTTGCATTGCAGGTTGAAGGTAGAACAAAGGCGAGTTCCTCAATCCATAGTATAGCATCAATCTGAAGCCAGCTATTAAGATAACAGGGATCAACTATAATGTATAATTCGATCATGAATTTCTTAACTCCTTTGCCTGAGTGTTTTTTCAGAATGTGAGATCCTTGCGATTACATTGTTTTGATGTGGAATTCCATTCAGGCCCAGCGCTTTCCTACTGAAGGTGAGGTTAGGATGGCACTTCCAAGAACGTAAAAATGCATGAGATACGCAGGCAACACGGACAGCATCTCGCAGCGGCAGTAGGGAATATATATGGCGCCAGATGTCCTGTACACACAAACATTGGAGAAAAGTTCACAAGGGGAATTGTAGAGACAAGTGGTTATTTCAATGGGGGTGAGCATGTGCACGATGTTTCTTTATAAAATTTATTTCATAGTGAAGCATGATACTTAGCTAGATATAGAAAACATCTTTTTTCGATCATTGCTCTTTAACAGCTATAAGGTCATTCGATTTCTCGGGTACAGCCTATATTACAGAGTAACTCTTATAGTGATTTTATCCTGAGATAAAATAATTAGAACTGAGCAAAGCAACTAATGTTGTAGTAGGATTGGAGGGGATTGCAGCACTGCAAGATCAGTCCATATTTTTTTTATTTAGTTGGCATAGCTCAATTTGTGCACTTTGAGGCTAGAATAGTCATAGTCATGTTTTACTTTAACTATAAGTATTTGTTAGACATGTCACGTACGTATAAGTGGCATTGTTATGCATTCTGGTTTAAGTAGATATTAGGAGATATTGTTAGGAGGTTAGAGATATCATTTATTTTCAACTATCTCTTTATCTCTCTAAACCTCCCTGTAAATCTCCTCTGTACGGTTAGCCTTGTGCTGCCGCGTCTTGTATCAACCACGCCTATCAATATATATCATGCGGGTCTCCTGTATGGAGATTGAGACGCTTCTATCATTCTCCACATGGTATATAGAGCAGGCTCTTCCGATTGCATCTAGCTCGTACCTCCTACCTCTCGACATCTACCCATCTCCATCGTCCCCAACCCAAGCTTTTTTCGCCCGCCACCCATCCCCTCCATCATGTCTTCCTCCAGCACCGTAGTCTCCTCCACCCTCAATTACAACACCTCTAAACCGCTTACCCGGACGAACTATGTTCTCTAGAAAGCTCAAGCTCGATCCCAAATACTGGGCGCTGGCCTCTATGGCTACATCGATGGCACCACCGTCGAACCTTCCAAACTCCTCACCACCAAAGATAAGGATGGCAAAGATCAGATCATCCCTAACCCTACCCATAACCCCTGGATAGTCCAGGATCAACAGATCGTTGCGTATCTCTTGCGCAATCTATCCAAGGAAGTCCTCATCCAAGTCGCCTCGCTCGAGTCCTCTCGTGCTATCTGGACTGCCTTGGGCACCATGTTCTCCGCCGTCTCGCTATCTCGCGCCAACAATCTTCGCTCTGCACTCACCAACGCCCAGAAGGGCTCCATGTCCGCCTCCACCTACTTTGGCCAGATGCGCTACCTCTCCGATGAGCTCACCGCGGCGGGCAAACCCCTTCGAGAAGAGGAACTCATCTCTTTCATCATCGATGGGCTTGACATGGATTATCAACCCATCATCTTCTCTCGACGTCCGCACCGAGCCCATCACCGTCAACAGTTTCTTCTCCCTCGTGGCCAACTTCGATCAGCGCATGGAGATGTTCCATGGCGCTGGCTATGGCGGCTTCAAGTCCTCCGCCAACATCGCCTCACGGGGCCAATCTGGTGGCGGCAATGGTGGCTACCGCAAAGGCGGGGGTGGTGGTTCTCGCGGCGGCGGCGACGGCTACAACGCTGCTGCTGGTGGATCCGGCGGTGGCGCTCCTGGTGGCTACAACATGGTGGGTGGAGGCGGCGGCTACCCTAACCCTAATTCTGGTGGCGGCTATGGCTTCCAACAGAACAGCGGGGGGCTACCAGGGGTCGGGTTCTAGTGGTGGCGGTGGTCATTTTCATCCGAACCAGAATCCCTCTGGTGGTGGAGGCTACAACCGGCGCTCCATCAACAACAATCAGCGCCCTTTTCAAGGGTAAGAAGGGTATGAAAATAAATGTCAAATATGCAAAAAACAAACCATATTGCAAAATACTATGATTGGCGCTACGCCGATGACAAAAATTCCTAGAAAAAGAGAGTTGCAGCTGCAGCCGACGTGTCTTATGGCGTTGATACCATTTGGTACATGGATACGGGTGCCACCAACCACATCACAGGCGAGTTGAACAGGCTAACTATGCATGAGAAATATCGTGGCCATGATCAAGTCTATACTGCAGCAAACGGTGCAGGTATAGAGGTAAGTCATGTTGGTCAATCTTTTATCAAAACCCCGCACAAAAATCTTAAAATCAATGACATCTTGTATGTTCCTAATGCCTCCAAGACTTTTCTATCTGTTCATCGTATTGCTCTTGACAATAATGTGTTTCTAGAGCACTACAAGAAATATGTCAACTTGTGACCCTCACTATTGGTCGCTGAAAGGTGATAGTTTTTCATTTGCGACCTTTTTGTGACCAAAAACAGAAGGTCAAAAGCTGAGGGTCGTTAACTAACTATAGCGACCTTCTGTGTGATATGTAAAAGGTCGTTGGTTCTTTGACCAAATTTTTTGTCACTAGCAACCTCCCCAGGCCACGTAGGCATCCAGCATGGCAAGCTGATGTGGCACAAGATTCAGCCCGGTCCAATTCGATTTTCTACATGGGCCTAGCCCAACAATTCGGCCCATTTATGATTTTTTCCTAGATGTTTTTGGGCCTTTTCTACCATGGGCCTTTACATTTCCACAGAGTTTGTTACCTTTTTGTTTCTATTGTCTATTTGAGTCGAGGCCTTCTTATAGTACTTCTGAATAGCTTTTCAGCCCAGGTTATTTTGGGCCATGGCATCTTAATAGTAAAAGTATATTTGGGCCGTGGCCACTATCAGGTCCAGTAAGAACATTTTCTGGAGAACTTAATGTTCAAGTAAAATGTACACAACATTACAGGAAAATAACACATACAACAGCACATAAAATTTCATTTCACTCCTACAGCTCACTACATCATAGAAAGTACATGACAATCATTCAATTTTTTACTAGGCAGTAGCCGAGTACATCATTCAATTTCAAATAAATAGTACTGCTCTTGGAAGCAAAATAGGCCGCCACACGCCATGGTGCCCCAAGGAACCAGCAGCGCTGCTTGCCCCCTTGGCCCAGCTCCTTGCTGCCGACGATGGACGAGACTCGGATGCGGAGATCCCTGCACATGACATATTGTGTCAATGCTTGCAGCAATAGAAGGAACTCACATACCATACAACTTGCACAGTAGTGTATCAACACCCGAAAGATTGACTTAATTGAACTGTTATATAACCAAGTTAGAGCTGGCAGAAGTTGCAGGTACATAAACATCCATAGAGCTAACATGTTGTATTTCTATAGAAAGAAGCATAAACTCACTATTCTACACAAAAAGCTAGCCCATACATGCACAGACACCAGAATGGTACATAGAATGAAGCATAGGGCTAGTACTTGCTACCCTGACATTTCAGGCATTCTAGTGTTTAGGAGATTTGACTTCCAGCAGAAAACTAAGTCGATAGAGTTAGCACTTGTGACTTCAACTAACTTGACCAGTGCTAAGTTATTAATAGACTTACTTGTGACTTCAACTAACTAGTGGATTGATTAGATATAAACAGTAGTACTGAATGATAGATATAAACATTAGTATTGCCTGAGCTCAGTTTTTTTTGCAAGGATAAGCATGTCCTAAACCGCCATTGTGAGATCGTTGAAGTAATATATGCCAGAATGTGAGAATGGATAAAATAGACATGAATGTTCTCAAGTGCCATGAAGTGAGAAAGCAGGTAGTCAGAATGACGAGGCATGTTAGCTGCCAAAACAGATTCAGACTAACTGCATGTACAGACGGACGGGCCATTCCCAAGCATTTCAAGACACCAGCAGAGGTCAGTAGACAACAAACTTGGATGCTATCTATCCATACTAGTATGGAATAATACGAGGCCAGTAGAAACTGTTTGCTACCAACGAGCTCGCCAAGGTGCACAATTGTTCAAAAAGGAAGCACATTTGACTAAAGTACCAGATTTCAGAGTTTGTAATAGCATCATGAACAGCAGCTATAAATTACTAAATTTTACCATACTGAATGCTATCTAGAAAGATAGATACGATGTAGGGGGTGTCCATTACCGACGATCTTGCCGAGGTGCATGGAGATGGAGTTGAGCTGGGCCTTGTTCTCATAGAGGTGGTTGACTGCCTTCCTGGACTGCACCAGCTCCTTGGCCAGCGCCTTCAGGAAAAAGCATCACCAGCAGAGGAAACCAAATTAGTAAATCAGCCCAAATCAAGGCCCTTGACCTTGAGCTCCTTCTCCTTGGCGCCCTTCACCAGATCCGAGGTCACTGTTAAACACACACGCGCACAAACACATCAGAAAAATTAACCTAAAACGACGTAATACACGGAATTAGTTCAGGAAAATGGATACAAGCGGACGAATCATCCTAAGTAACCAGAAACAAAACATTGTTTACTCGCTAGGCGTTAAAGCGATAGATGTTAAACACTAACTTCCTTCATAAAAAAGAGCAATAATAACAACCAGCAGGTACTTAACACTCAGCAAGGGTTGACAGATATAATGGGTTCAGCAACCAATTTGGCTCAGAAACTAAGAAAATCAGAAAGATTTTTCGCTCAGAATACGCTAACAAGCATTCATGAATCACACTAGTAAGTAAGAACATGAGTAAACTAGCGATTAGCAAATGAATCTCAACATCAGCAGAAGATTGAGATACAAATGCATCCAACTGCAAGGCAGACAGAACCTGTCATCGTAAAGGAACATCATACAACACAGCTCATCTTACAACAATGTGCACACAAATTGGGCTAAGCAACGCACTAAGAACAAGTCAAGTAAAATTGCATGCCACTCGATAACTAAGCAATCAGTTGCAATATCTGCTCTGAATATTTGCTCCCCTGCTGATCCATCCAA